TCTCGCTCGCTCTATCTCTATCTATCTCTCTTGTGCTCGCTCTCTACTTTCCCCCTCTCCCTTTCTCAATTCTCTCTCTCTATCGCTTTCAATTCTCTCTTCCTCCTCCTCTCTCTATCTATCCCCCCTCTTTCTCTCTGTAACAATTGGGAAGTCGATATGGGACCGAAACGAAACTTTATGAGAACCAGTATTGTACCTGGCGCTCCCGGGCATTACCCAGCAGAGCGCAAAAACAATTACGCGCACATATTGATTGCACTGCGAGAAACTGGTTTCTAAGACGCTCTCTGGTGTCACTACTGTAGTCTGGCTGGATGACTGGATGGCTGGCTCTCCGGACTGTTGACTGCCAACCGTGGGGTCCTCTACACTTGTATACAGTACTGCTGTTTGCACATTCATGCACTCTGCTCTACTAAGAGGGAGGGAGGGGAGAGGGAGGGTGATAGGGCGAGAGAGAGAGCGGAAGAATGAGGGGAGAGGAAGAAGGAGAGAGAGAGAGAGAGAGAAAAGGAGAGGGCGAGAGAGAGAGAGAGAGAAAAGGAGAGGGCGAGAGAGAGAGAGAGAAAAGGAGAGGACGAGAGAGAGAGAGAGAGAGAGGGCGAGAGGGAGAGAGAGGGTCGTTGTTCTGACTTTTATCTGATGTGACAACGGAAACCGATGTTATCGTTGCATAGCATTGATTGTGTTCCTTCTTTTGTCGAAACCTAGCTGGACCTCGGATAGATTTTGCCGCCGTAATTCGGGTGTGGTGAGCGCGGGCAACCTAACAGACAATAGCAGAGCGTGGATATCGCAATTGATTGCATTGATTTGGGGGTATATAAATGCAAGGCTAGATCAAAGTATACGTTGGGGTTATTAAATTAGTGCAATTTCAATGATCTCTATTATAACACACCACGTGCATCCTAAATCGAACAAGCGTGCGCGTGTTTAGGTAAATGTGGTAAGCGCCTGTTCGATGCCTCCTCCAAGCAGGCATCACACATTCGATTTACACAGAACTGTTGTTATACTTATGTTATAACTTATGTAGGCTCATTATTTACTACAAGTGTGTGATTATCTATACATATTTCGGGTTGTGGGTCGTAGTTTACGTGCTCTTAGGCGCACAGTGGGCGCACGCGCGCTTAATTGAGGGTTGCTTTGACAGCACGTCCATTGCTCTCTGTGTTCAGTATCCGGCTGCCACCTCCCCTCACTCATATCATAGACTGCGCGCGCGCGAGTAGGGTGAGTGAGAGCAGCGCAGCCGCACAGCTATTGTCAGCCTGCCACCATTGTCAGCCCTCAAGGCAAGCAGCAACAGCATCAGTGTAGCAGCAGCAGTGTAGCAGCAGCAGTCGCATCAGCAGCAGCAGCAGTATCAGTGCATCAGCAGCAGTCAGCAGCAGCAGCAGTCGCAGCAATATCAGTGTGTAGCAGCAGCGGTATAGAGTGTGGCAGTACTTGGACCCCGTGTGCAATATTGTGCCGCTCTGCTGGTCTGTCTGCCCCCCCCCCTCCCGCGGGCCACGGCGGGCTCTCCCGACAGTCTACAGTGCCTTCCTCGACAGTACAGCTCAAGGCTAGGCTGTCAAGACTGGCTAGCGAACGAACACACACCGTGCAATACGTGACCGTTTGTTGGTGACAGCTTAATACGAGCTACCTTGTCTTCCTAGATACGCCTTCGTTCAGTGCTAGATGTGAACTATCTGTGAAGTGAGCGGCATCAGACAACGTGCAGGACACGGTGGTGTCTCGGGGAGCTACTAGCACGTGAACCTGTTTGTGTGTCGAGGAATCGAACTGGAAGTAAAATAGTGGATAGTGCGCTTATCTGTTGGTGCACAGCGACGTTGACCGGCATGTGAGGACGGTTTTGAAGTTCGATTCCAAGCTACGCTAGGATGGCAGTGACGTGGTTAGTTGATGAATTCGCCCATGTGCGTAACTGTGGTGTCGTGTGACACGTGCTGGTCGGACGAGGTCCACAGAAGCTGTCTGGCTAGCTTAGGAGCCAGATTGCGACGTAGTAGTGGTGTTATCAGACTATCAGTGCGTGTTATCAGTATCGAGCGTACGTGTGCGCTCTTTCTGCAGGTGTTATTACGTACGCGCGTGCGTGCGTGCGTGCACGTGTGTCTGTGTGTGTGCGTGCGTGCGTGCGTGCGCGTGTGTGTTTGCCCTTTCTGCACGTGTTAGTACATGTGTGTTTATTCGTGGGCCGGTAATTAAGTTGTACCGCTAATGTGTTGACAGCAACGTGCAACACGATATCGCAAAAAACCGAGGATGTTAGAAACAGGAGCTCGCGTGTTGAAGAGATGTTGGTGTTTTTTTAAAGCCTCTCGTTTTATTGCTAAAGTAATATTTCACGTTCGTGACTGGGGAACTGCGCTGTCATATAGTGCGTGTCTTTACTGGGCAGTAAATGCACTTTTACATGGTAACTTTAATTTTAAAAGGAATAGAGATGTTATGCCAGTCTAGAACCACTACGTCACTCAATGAGATGCACTTTTGTCTGGTGGTTGCCGATTTCGAGGGAATTGTTGCTATACGAAAGAATGTGGCTGCATTACTTGCTATTTTATATGCGATAACCCATGGTAATTTTAATACTGGAGTAATCAGTAGCATGTTCGCTATTAGGTGAATCTATATTTCGCTATAAGAACATCATAATATATATATATATATATATATATATATAATATTATGTCGTTCTTGTTGTCATTGTGAGAGATCACATGTGAAAATAGTACATTCGTGTTCATTGTAGCTCAATCTTTTTTAGGAGCCCTGCACATAAATCATTATAATCATCACGCTTTTCCTAAGCTACCCCTAGTTCCAAATCCTAACCCTAGCATAGGATTATTTTTAATCTAATAGGTTTACTCTTAACCTAATCCCAATCCTAGCATTAAAAATTTGGAGTGCTAAATTTTGATTGACCTGTTTTTAACAGTGGTCACTGTTAGCGTGGATGAACGTTCATGAGCATCACAGAAACAGGCAGCACCATGCAGCGTGTAAAAATGACACTGTTTGTGTTTTTTTTTTGGAGAAGTGGGAGTAAATGTGATACCATCTCAAATTCTCTTCTCTTGTCCTCGTGACAGAAAAGCACAAAAAAGGATTTATTGGCTTTCATTGCCGCAGTGGGAAGCGTGGATCGATGTCTGTAGTAGCTTCACTCTCACATTTGTTAGCGACGTGAGAGAAGCAGGGATCCTGATAGCAAATGTCTTCACTCTGTGCTTGCTGAGGGAATGGGAGTGATTGATTACAGTGTAGATGGGTTGCTCGGCCATGCATGGCACGTCCCGGTGCGGCAATGTATCAGCGTGTAAAGTAGCTAGCCTCGTGGCTCAGGAAAGCTGTGATCGCAGTGTGCAGAATGGCTTCACTTCCATCCATTAATTACACGAGCGAGGAATCAGTGATTGGAGTGTCAAACGGATGAACTTATTGTGTTCGTTTCACAGGCAGGACCGCAGTCACATTCAGTCTATACTCGTACATTGGGTATCGGTAGTCGTCGGCATGCTACAGCTGTGCTTGTGTTTGTTTGCAGGAGCGGGGAGCAGTGATCGCGGCGGCGGCGGCGGAGGCGGCGGAGTGAGATGACCAGCGTTAGCATGGATGTAGAGAGCGTGAGGTCGGGCCACAGCGAGCGGTCGAACCACTCGCGTCGCAGCCACGGCAGCAGCGGCAAGCATCGTCGCCATGGCTCCCACGGACGCACCAAGCGCACGGTGCGCGTCAACATGGGGGATGCCGACAGTTCGCGCATGGGCGAGGAGATGATTGAGGTATCTAATGTACCCTGGTTCGAATGTCGAAAGCGAAGAAAAAAAACTTTTTCTTTTCTTTCTTTTTTGCTCCAGAATAGTGACAGCTAAGGTCTACTTTTCGATCAAAGTTTTAGGTTTTCCGGGTGAAACGATTAGTAAGGTACACAACGGGTTTTTCTTGCCGTAAGTCCGTCTGCTTTCACACACCAAGAGATCGTTGAAGAAAGATTAAACAGCGTGACAGCAAAATATTGAGCGAATAGGTGACAACAAAATATTTCCAACCGTTCCACAGAAGAGGGCCGTCGAAAGTTACTTTTAATTTTTCCCAAGCACAGGCCTGGCTATCTCGGAAAAGTAGACATATATGTTCATTTTGACATCCCCCCCCCCCCACACACACACACACCACCACCACCACCACCACCACACTACTGCATTGGCGGTTTTGACCTGAGATCCGAGAGATACGTTCTTTGTGTTCCCGCTGAGTTAGAGTCAACTTCCTCCAAATTCTTGGTTATTCCTTGTTATCTCTAAGACTCTTCCATTCTGTGGGAGTGAAAGAGTGTGGGATTGTTGCGGGTTTGTATATAAAAGAAGCACTCGTGGTTGACTGGGGTCATAGCGTGCAGAATTGCGAAATTTTTCCTTTATGTTCCTATCTTTTAGCGTCAAACAGCTCATGAACTACACGAACAAAAGTTGTTGTCGCAACATCGGCTAGCAGTAGCAGTAATGAATAGCGATATATACATCCTCAGATTATTAATAGTAAGCTGTCTGTGCACAGAACGCTCAACCGCTACAACGCTCAACAACCGCTCAACCGCACAACCGCTCAACTCGCAGCAACGCTCGAAACCTCCACATATAGGGCAGCATTTACGTTCGCGTAGATATAGACGTTACACTGAATCACACG